AACATTTTAAAACATTTTAATTAATGTCGACATTTCCATTAAAAATTAAAAATTTTTAAAAATTTAAAACAACTGAAAATGAGGTTGGCACTATTAAAAGCACAGCCACATCGGACCTTTAAATGAGATTATAAAAAACATGGACCTATAATTAGAATTTTTTACATAACGTTGATCACCCACCAAGTGCCTTGAATATTTGGTTACGTTTTCAACCGAATTGGTTCAAATTAAATTGTTTAGGTTCTAATGGGGTGTAAAATCTTCTTACCAAAAATTATCATATCGGTGTATGTTTTTTGTATAAATCCCATATAATGGCACCGAACTATTTTCGACCGTTGAAGAATTACTTATTAATCTATCATCATGTGGATTTGTTATTTCAAAAATAATATTCTTTTATATAGAAAAACATGATTACACCTGACTCTCAGTATGAAAATGTAAGTGTAAACATTTCATCTCAAAAAGTGAACACACTTCGACGTGTGTTCGATACACATCTACCGTTGAAGTGAATGCCAGAGAATATGCCCGATAGTTTCTACAAAATGTTTCACACCGATTATATTTTATTTAATTGTTTTTTACTCTGAGACTTTATGGGCATAAAATAAAATCGGATATGAACGTACATAATGGAATAGTGTGTGTGTGTGTTTTTTAATGAATAGGAAACCAATTGAGTATATACGTTAATAAATACAGTTTATTTCAATATTTCGATTTAGCTTTTGATTTCTTCTTAATCTTTATTTAATATTATCTGTGTATTTATAACCAACACCACAACACGTGAAAATCAACGATTTTTTTAATTATTATGAAAATATATCTCTCACTTTATAACAGCAGTACCCAAAATAGGTCCCATGGGCTGTCGGTGTGTGTCAAATAGCTCCCACATACAATTATATATGAGAAACATTTGAAAATAAAAATATTTTCAAAATTGTCATTCATTCCTTTTCCGAAAAATGTAGGATATTTTTGGCAAACATTAGTTCAGAACAAATCGAAATATGTGACCTATACTATGGGGGGAGGGCAGAACAGAAACAAATATATCTTTATATGGGGGAATGTATCGTCAACAACCATATTTGTATCGTCAACAACCATATTTGAATATAAAATTGTTTTCTTCCATAAAATTTGAAAATTATATTTTTTTACAAAATTTCTCTCAGTATATGACATAGAAACAGAACTTTTGAAAATATATATATATATATATTTTTGCTTGAAATACAATATATTGTATTTATATTTATATTTAGATGAAATCTTAACGAGACCAGATTTTTTTTAAATGTATGTGAAGATTTAGATATGGGAAGAACTCAATTTCGGAATTTTTAATGCATCAGCCTTAATGTTAATGAGGCAATAGTATCACAATAGTTTTTTTCAAACTTTAATGAAATTTTAAATTTGGGAATATCGGTCCACATTTCTTAAATCTAAATGATGAGACTTATCGGTCCACTGTCCTTTTATGAAACCTATCGGTTCATTTATTTTTGCACCTCCCACAAAAATGGGTCTAAATTTTGAACTTTTTTATTTAATATGCAGCAAATGGAAAAACTGAGTTGATGTATAGATTGTATGTGTAATATTGCTATACCCTACACAACAATGTTGTCAGGGTATTATGGCTTTGTGCAGCCCCAAGAGTTTGTAACGCCGCGACATATTGGTCCTAGACCCACCTTTAAGTATACTGATCGCCATATCTCGACTAGCTGAGTCGATCTAGACATATGTGTCCGTCCGTCTGTTCATTATAATTTGTGAACACGATACAGGCCACAGTTATGGATCAATTTTCACGAAATTTTGCATGTAGGATGGGTTCTGGCCAATGAAGATCCCTATTGATGAAGATCGTTTAATATTTAGGGAATGATATGGACCAAATACGTAATTTTTGTTAGTTTTTCTGGTAGCACCAGAGGCAGAATGGCATCGGTGATAAAGATCGGTCAATATTTAGTGGGTTAAATGAACCCTGACTTTTGTGTGAAAAATGACAAAATTTGTATTCTATAGCGTATATATTTACCCCTGAAGGACGTAGACCCGAAAACAAATTGATAGTATATCCAAGAGGAGTGGTTGACCTTTAAATTGATACCAATTACATTGTCGTATGTACTCGGATGTGGGGTTGCACTTAAATATTTATAGGTGCTTACTTATTTATATATTATTCAGTAACCCATTACCTTACAAGAGTGCGGAAATATAGCGCTGGTCGCTTTGAAATTTTCCATGTTGGTCCAGGTAAGTTGGTTAAAGACAACGCCTATAATTTTCGGATATATAATAATATTGAGATGAAATGGACAAAAAACTTATTTTTTTATGTTTTTTCGAGTCGATCTTTAGGCCACAATTGAAAGTCGAACATCACAACCCACGGTGAAGGGAATATGGACAAGTAATTAGAAGGGATATACTGAATATTAGTAATATTTGTTGATCTCTCTCAGAATATAGAACCACAGAAAGTTAGATTTTCGTGGAAGTTGTGTAGGGTATGATATGGTCGGTCCCGTCCGACTATACAGCTCCGCTCACTGTTTTGTTTTTTTTTTTTTTTTTAATTTACGAACAATTCCAATATTTTGGATTTTTTTATTTGAATTTTATAAATATAAAAAAACTGTAAATGTATATTCTCTAGAAAAGATTTCTAAGTGAAAAGAACTACATTTCGGGATTTATATACTTATAGTCTTAATAGATACGACAATATGGCTAGCCTAGTGTCCATGATCCAAATCCATTTCTGACATTTTGGAGCGCCCAAGAACTCCAAAATACCGAAATTTTGGGGTACTCTTATTCGAGGGCTATCCGAAAAAATTGACATATATATAATTTTTAGTAGGGAAATTTGCTACCCAATAAGAACTCAAAGTACCAAATTTCAGAAAATTCGGTCGAAAAAAGCGATCAAAACCCCCAAAATGTCGCAAAATTGGGGGTACCTCAAAGTACCAAATTTCAGCGAATTCAATTGAAAAACGCGCTCAAGAACTTCAAAATACCGAAAATGGGGGGGGTACCCTTATATGGGAGCTATGCCAAAACTGGACCGATGTAGCCCATCTTCAAACTTGACCTGCCTGCAGACAAAAGACAAAGATTTGTTCCAAAGAAACATCAAGAACATCAAAATACCGAAAATTGGGAAGGGCTCTTATATGGAAGCTATGCCAAAACTGGACCGATGTAGCCCATCTTCGAACTTGACCTGTCTGTAGACAAAAGACAAAGATTTGGTCCAAAGAAATATGGGCTCCAAAAACAATATTTCTGTTAGACACTTTTTTCCTGTATCAATGTGTTTATACCCTCCTTTGTCATAAGGCTCAGGTTATAAAAAGAGATCCTTCATAGATGAAATATGAAGTAATAGGTCTAATGATTAGGTAAATCAGAGGTACAGTTAGAGGCGGTTCAATAATTATATATTTGATCAGAAACAAAATTGACAAACTTAATCAGAATGCACGGAAAACTGGACCTATACCTACAGTATTTTCTAGGGCTAATTTACAAGCAATTCGTTATTAGGTGGCTATGCCTAGAAATGAATTATATTTGTTATTCCCATGAATTATATTTTGATATTTTAATAAGATCGCTTTTCACAGAGGATATTGAACGCTTTATGGGGGAGTATTTAAGCATATCATTTACAACCTATCCTTTAATGTTATATTTCGTGTAATTAAAACATTTCTAAATTTGATCTGTAGCCGACCATATGATATCCTACAAAACTACCACCGAACTGTCAAAATATCAAGCATGTACAATTAAACAATAATTACATTCACTTGTATTTTAGAGGAAACCATATGTGAACATGATCATTCCTCAATTACATTGATATGAGATTAATCGTCAATCATTACTCTTTCATTCACTGGTGACTTTTCCGAAGCATGTCTTCCCTGAGCGACATATACGTCATTATATCTAAATTTTTAAAAAAGATTTGGTCCATATATTGACCGAGCCAAATACACTCCGCCTGGAACAGTTTTGTGATGTTCGGGTCATTATTGTGGTCTCTGCGGGTGATTAGAAAACATACAATAAAATTTGTTTACTCCATTGGACCTCGTAAATATTAATCGATACAAAATGATAAGTCTATGTGTCCATAAATTTAGCCTGCATATGTGCAGACGGAAGGGCATATTGAGCTAGCTATATCTAGGGGCCACACAAACTTACAATATCCCAAAAAAATAGTTGTGTTGGATATTTTTATATTCAACACAGCCCTATATCCAAAAGAATTACGATTTTTCATTACAATTACAATAACTATGTGTGTGGTGTAGGTTATAACACAGTATAATATTTTTTATTATTTTTTAATTATAATTAATAATTATTTTTATTTTCGTTTAATATATTTTTAAAATCTGTTTTCTTATTTTTCTTGCATTTGGTGTGTCGCTGCTATTTAATAGTTTTATTAATTGTTTTTTTTTTGTTTTGTAGCGGTAGCATTTCATACATCTAATAAGGCCTATTTACATACATAAGTATTTTTTGTTTTCATAATAATATTTTATTTTTGTTAAAAATAATTATATTAATTTTTAATTATTATTTCTTTATTATGTATAATTAAATTGCTTATTTACATTATTATTTTTCGATTATAATAAATTATTGTTCACTTTTATTTTAATTTTTAAAAAAATATTGCACTTTTGTTTTTCTTCTTGTTAAACTATTAAGATTTTTGCAATTAAATCTAAAACAGATTTTTTTTCTTATAAAAAATTTAATAATAATAATAATAAAAACTTAACAATATTTTTCATAGTAAAGCATTTCCTACTGCTGTTATTGCCGCTGCTGCTAGTCTACATAGATTTTCACCACATTTTATAGAATAACAATTGCTGGAGGGGTCGGGACATAAGCACAACCATCACGCTAGCACCGGCGACTAAACTCACTAAACTTTTCATACTTCCGGCTGCATTACAATTATCCGTATTACAAATCGAACAGAAAAATTCTTGGCTAGGATCACCGTTACCATCCTGTCGTCCATTGCGATAATTGCCATTGTAACTATTCGAGTCGTCTTTGGGTAAACGTAATTTTGATCGTAGGATAGCACAGGCATCCGACTCGCCGGTATTTAATTGACAAAATCTGGCAGTTACCATTTTATTTGTGACAGCTGCAAAAAATAACAGAATTTTAGGGAATATCGGGTTATTGGAAAATGTTATTACAACTTACGTTGTCTCGCCACCACCTTTTGACAGTTCATTAGGGGACTTCTATTTGCTCCCATGTCAAAGTATTCGAAACTGTTCAATTCAAATAGCCATGTATTGATGGATTTCATTTTGTCCAGGGTACATTCCTGAAAAGAATAATGAAAGGTAACAGGAATTTAATTATTAATTTTTAAAATAATTAAAAACCAGTAAGGAAAGTAGTAAAGTCGGACTGGCCCGACTATATGCTACCTTTCACGACTTTGGGTATATTCTACATATGTACCCGAAAAGACGTCTCCTTTCTGAAGGAATTTCGACATGAAATTGAACAAACTTAAATATGTGATTTTTATGTCTTTCTGGAACCTATGCTAAATTTCATTTCATTTGAGTATGTTTAGAGTCGTTTGCGCACAGTGGGACATATTTGTGTAAATCGATTTAAAGCACGTTGTGTCAATAGGCCTAGCTGTGGATCTTTAGTGCACAAGTTACTTAAAATCGAAAATATATACCATTGTAGACTTAATTCAATACTCTATGCCAAAATTAGTGCAAATCAAATGATTTCCAGGGACTTTTGTGCACCATTTACCTCAAATCGGGCGAAACTATATATGGGAGCTATATCTAAATCTGAACCGATTTTCACGAAACTTATCACACATCATTCTAGACCTAATTCAGTATGCTATACCAAATTTCATTTAAATCGAAAGATATATAGGGTCTTTGGTACACCATTTACCTTAAATCAGGCGATACTATATATGGCAGCTATATCCAAATGTGAACCGATATTCACGAAACTTAGCACACGTCATTCTAGGCTTAATTCACTACGCTATGCCAAGTTTGTTCAAATCAAATGATTTTCAGGGACTTTTGTGCACCATTTACCTCAAATCGGGCGAAACTATATATGGGAGCTATATCTAAATCTGAAACGATTTTCACGAAACTTAGCACACATCATTCTAGACCTTATTTATTACGCTATACCAAATTTCGTGCAAATCGCAAGATATATAGGGACGTTGGTACCCCATTTTCCTTAAATCGGACGAAAATATATATCTGAACTAAATCTGAACCGATTTTTCCCAATTTCAATAGGGTTCGTCCTTGGGCCAAACAAATGTGCTGTGCCAAATTTCATGCAATTCTGATCATAAATGCGACCTGTACTTTGTTTACCATTTAACATGGACACACGGACGGACGGACATGCATAAATCGACTCAGAAATTGATTCTATGCATATTCTCAAAAGGAACCATGGGTCTATCTCGATTATTTTTGCCTGTTACAAACATATGCACAAAGACATAATAAAAAATATATTCTTGAAAATCCACGCCTTGTTTGGGTCCCTAAAAATATTCTTTTGAAAATCCACGCCTTGTTTGGGTCCCTAAAAATATTTTTTTGAAAATCCACGCCTTGTTTGGGTCCCTAAAAATATTCTTTTGAAAATCCACGCCTTGTTTGGGTCCCTAAAAATATTCTTTTGAAAATCCACGACTTGTATAGGTCCCTTAAAAAATATTCTTTAAAAAATCTACGCCTTTTGTAGGTCCCTGAAAATATTCTTTAAAAAATCTACGCCTTGTTTGGGTCCCTAAAAATATTCTTTTGAAAATCCACGACTTGTATAGGTCCCTTAAAAATATTCTTTAAAAAATCTACGCCTTTTGTAGGTCCCTGAAAAATATTCTTTAAAAAATTTACGCATTTTGTAGGTCCCTGAAAAATATTCTTTAAAAAATCTACGCCTTTTGTAGGTCCCTGAAAAATATTCTTTAAAAAATCTACGCCTTTTGTAGGTCCCTGAAAAATATTCTTTAAAAAATCTACGCCTTTTGTAGGTCCCTGAAAAATATTCTTTAAAAAATCTACGCCTTTTGTAGGTCCCTGAAAAATATTCTTTAAAAAATCCACGCCTTGTAATGGTCCATGAAAAATATTCTTTAAAAAATCCACGCCTTGTAATGGTCCCTGAAAAATATTCTTTAAAAAATCTACGCCTTTTGTAGGTCCCTGAAAAATATTCTTTAAAAAATCTACGCCTTTTGTAGGTCCCTGAAAAATATTCTTTAAAAAATCCACGCCTTATTGGTGGTCCCTTAAAAAATATTCTTTAAAAAATCCACGCCTTATTGGTGGTCCCTTAAAAAATATTCTTTAAAAATCCACGACTTATTGGGGATCCATGAAAAAATATTCTTTAAAAAATCCATGCCTTATTGGTGGTCCCTTAAAATATATTCGTTAAAAAATCCACTCCTTATTGGTGGTCCCAAAAAATATTCTTAAAAAGATCCACCCTTGTTGGTGTTCCCAAAAAATATTATTTTAAAAATCCACGGTTTTTTGGTGGTCCCAAAAAATATTCCTTAGAAAATCCCCGACTTGTGCGATTGACAATAAATATTCCTTGTTTGGAAAATATTCGGCGGGACGCACCATGCGCCCCAAAGTATGCTTTAAAATTTGGTATAATTTGTTTTTTATTTTAAATACCTTATAAAGACAACAATTAAACACCTTACAAATTCACGATTTTATTTACCTTATCCTGCTGTTTAATTTAAATCCTCTACAAATATTTATTTGAAAAAAACTCTCAATATCCTCGCAAACATGAAACGTGTATGTGGCAATTAAATTTACGGCATTACTTCGTGCTTCATAAAAACAGCAGATTCCTTTTTTAATTTAATCGAATTGAAATTGTGCTGAGAATTATCATCAATGCGGCGGAGCATAACAGGATTTTCACGTTGCTATCCTTTATGACCTCTAATTTGATACACGTGAATATTTTGATGATGCTAGGAGAGAAGCTGCGACAGAACGCATTTGGAATTTATTGGAAAAGTTTATTGCTTTGCAAAAAATACATGGAACATAGAAGAGGCTGTGAATTTTATAGGATTCAAATGTGGGTGTAAATGGTTTCCAAACCTACCAGCATGAGTTGTCCTGATTCTAATAGTCTTCAGTTATTTGAGGTTATATGCGTGTGAAAATTAAAATAATGTTATCTATACCCAAAAGTGAAGTGAGAATTTGCAATATTTCTTTAAAAAATAAATTCTTCAAAAATTTAAAATTACGGCGACAGTGCTATCTAATTGAAAAAATAGGCCGCCAAGTATCTTGTATTTGAAATCATTATTTTTGAATTAACAACTTTTGAACAATTCCATATTATTTTGACCTTGTTTTCGAACATGGTGTTTCCTTCCTGCCTTCCGTCCTTTGCCTACATTTTATATTTCAAACATTTCCTGACAACAACTACAATAATTGCAAATACCGACTGAACACAAACAAATACACAAATCAAAAAGAAAAAACTTCAACAACATAAATTGTCATTCTATAGCGTCATAGTGGGAAAATAGGAACTTGGAACCTAGCATCGGAAATTTTCTTTGACAACCTCTTTGAAAAAGCAGAAGAAGAAAAAAAAACGCCATAAAGATGAAAAGTAGTAAAAATCATTTGGCAAACGAAAAGGTCATTACCGCCAACTCCATGGGACTTGTTTCTCTGTACGGCAATCATCAATGAATAAAACGCCTAATGCAGTATTCGACAGAAGGTCAACCAACCTCCGGGTTACCAAAGCAAAGAAGAACCAAAGAATACAAAAACCAAGACCGTTTCTATGAGTTTGAAATTATGGAATATTAAAAATGGTGACCTTTATATTGTAGCATTTTTTATTTATTTATTTCAAGTGGTAGTATTTAAGTCAGTTGATTGTCTTCTCAATGACAAAGGAAAAGGGGGGAAAGTATGGAAATATAATAATGGGAAAATACTTAGAGCAAGCCACTCAAAAATTTTTTTGAACTACCAACAAGGTGTGGATTTTTTTACGAATATGCTTTGGAATCGCCAACAAGGCGTGGATTTTTTAAAGACTATTTTTTTGAAGCACCTACAATGCGTGGATTTTTAAAAAAATATTTTTTAAACTAACATCAAAGCCTGGATTTTTTAAAGAATATTTTTTTTAAGCACCGGCTAGGCGAGGAGTTTTTTAAAGAACATTTTTTGAAGCTACAACAAGCCTCGATTTTTTTTAAAAATATGAATTTTGAATCACCAAGGTTTGGATTTAAAAAAAAAAAATATTATTTTGGAATCACCAAAGGCCTGGATTTTTATACCCTTCACCACATTGTGGTACAGGGTATTATGTCTTTGTGCATATGTTTGTAACAGGCAAAAGGAAACGAGATAGACACATGGTTCCTTTTGAAAATATGCATAGAATCAATTCCTGAGTCGATTTATGCATGTCCGTCCGTCTGTAGATGTTAAATTGTAAACAAAGTACAGGTCCTATTTATGATCCGATTTGGATGAAATTTGGCACAAGTCACTTATTTGGACGAACCCTATTGAAATTGGGAAAAATCGGTTCAGATTTAGATATAGATCCCATATAGGCCCCAAAGCCCCACTATATCTTTCGATTTGCACGAAATTTGGCACAGAGCACTGAATTAAGTCTAGAATGATGTGTGATAAGATTCGTGAAAATCGGTTCAGATTTAGATATAGCTTCCATATATATTTTCGTCCGAGTTAAAATCAAATGATGTACCAAAAGTCCCTAAATATATCTCGATTTGCAAGAAGTTTGGCACATGGTATTGAATTAAGACTAGAATGATGTGTGCTAAGTTTCCTGAAAATCGGTTCTGATTTAGATATAGCTCCCATATATATTTTCGTCCGATTTAAGGTAAATGGTGCACCAAAGTCACTAAATATCTT